GGCGGGGGGGTCTACTTTTTGATGAGCGAGAGGAACTCTTCTCTTGTCTTTTGGCGGTCTCTGAACACGCCGAGCATGCAGCTGGTGACGGTCGTCGCACCTGGTTTCTGCACGCCGCGCATGGCCATGCACAGATGTTCGCACTCGACCACCACCGCCACACCCTGCGGCCTCAGCGCTTCGTCGAGCGCCAGTGCCACCTGCTTGGTCAGGCGTTCCTGCACCTGCAGCCTCCTCGCAAACGTCTCTGCGATCCGCGCGAGCTTGGACAGCCCAATGACGAGCCGATTGGGGATGTATCCAATGTGGATCCTGCCGGTAAAGGGCACCATGTGGTGTTCGCACAGGCTAAAGATCTCAATGTCGCGCACGATGACCATCTCGTCGTGCTCCTCGTCAAAGATGGCGTTGGCGATGACGTCGCTCAGCCTCACCTCGTATCCCTTTGTCATCCACAGCAGCGCCTTGGCGTATCGCTCGGGCGTCTTGACTAGGCCGCTGCGCGTGGGGTCTTCGCCGATGCACTCGAGCACCGTGTGGATCGCAGCCGCCAAACGCGCCTGGTTGGCTTCCGCCTGCGCAGGCGTGTGGTTGAGCCTATCCAGCGTCGCTTTCGCCGGCCATCCGAGTCCATTGGGATCCATGACAGGTGTAGCGGCTCCCGACGCTGCCCACGCCGAGCCAATGTACGTCCTCTCTCCCGTGGGCGTGCCCAATCCGCCGCCGCGCGTTTGCGCCAACACGTCGAGATCCGCACTCATCTTTGTCGCCGGTGCACCGTGCACTGCGGTTGCCGACGTCGAACGCGACAGCAACGCCGCGGCTGCCGCATGCGCATTCGACTGCGCCCCCGCCGAGCCCTCGGTGGAGGGCGACGAGGTAGCCTGCACATAGCTCGAGCCGCTCGACGCCACTGCCGGAGCGGCCGCACCCAGGTTGAGCGCGGACACGCCGTTGGCTAGCGCCGAGGTCTGCTGTCGTGTCGCGTGCTCCTTGGGCGGCTGCGGCGCCGGTACATCTCCTGGATCGCGACCGCAGTCGAGACCATTGCCGTCCGGCGCATAGACGTCGTCGTTGCGGCCCGCAGCGACCGGATGGGCGGCGGCGCTGATCTGGTCGGTGAGCCCGCGCAGCTCGCCCGTCGACATGTTGGCGCGCTGTAATGCGGATGCGAAGAAGGTGTCGAAGAATGCCGATCCCGAGTCTGCCTCTTTTCCCTGTCCCTGTCCCTGTCCCTGCTCCTGCTGTGGCGGTTGCGATGCCATGATGGTGTGCCAAAAGACAGATGGTTGGGGGGGGGG